GAAGAAGAAGAAGAAGAAGAAGAAGAAGAAGAAGAAGAAGAAGAAGAGGAATTTATTCCAATCCCTGGTTTCAACTGAGGCAAAATGTAGGCTAAAAATGCCATAATATTCTCCGTCACTCAACTCAGTAAATCATACTGTTTGAAAGTCATGCTTTGAGAATCAGGGCTTTAAAACATAAATATAAGTAACTGAAGTAATGGGAAGAGAAGTAAGGTTATTATGCCCATACACGATAAATACAACTTTGTAAATAAAAAGAATGATATTTTGGTAGAACTATCAATTAATCTCCCAGGCAACAACAGTAGCAACAAAACTCAGTTAGATACAGAGAAAAGGAGTTTAGAAGAGGTCACAGGAATAAATGGGGCAATTTTGTCACTATCGAATTAAAGTTAAACGTGTACGTCTTTTGTTTTTACCAGTGTATGAAAAAGGGAAATTACATTCATGGTTACATTTAAAATTTCTGCAGTCACTGTGAGAAGAAAGAAAAAAAAATCTTTCACACAGGCAAAAAAAAAAAAATCCCCAAAGTAAAACTGAACAATATAGCTTTTAAATCCTGATTCTAGCTATGCAAACTAATGTTCATCGGCCCCCACCCTCTGAATTTCTTTCTCAAAATATCAAGCAATTTTGTTATTGATTACATGACCTCATACAGTGATAGTGAAAATAGTTCATTTGCTACAGAAATATAAGGTGCCTAAAGAATAAAACTCAAACCAAACAACTCCTACCAATGATGTTCCAAAGTAAAGCCTCTCGCCACCATGGTTTGTGGGGGTGGGGGTGGGAGGGGAAATGGCATACATCTATATGTCACTGCTCTGATGAGCCACTCTGCATTAGGAGTGCCTTCTGCATTGCCTCTGCATTACTATCAAGGGCCCAGAAAAGGTAGAAGGGCTTGCCTGGAGAATGAATGATGAAGTCTCACCACCTAGGACTTGCAGTGTCTACCAGCCCTGGACTAGTGAAGCCTCAGGGGGTTGTAACCAACTCAGATAGTCTGGGGATGCACTGGCCATCTCAGCACATACCGTGCATGATGGCAGAAGTCTTAACTGTTTCCCATGTCTGCCTTAAATGGCTAAGCTCCCTGTTTCTAGGCATCTGCATCTCTGCCTTGTTGCTTCTTCTTCTCTTGGTCTGTTTGGCTCCATGTGGACTAGAAATGATGGCCATAATCTTCTTTTCCCAAATGCTAGTGTCCTGTTTTTCAAACATACATGCTCAGAAGGACATCCTGATCCCACACACCTGCAGCAAGCAGAGGGTATCTAATCCCAAAGACATATGGAACTGAGAGACAGAATAACACAGTAGAATGAGTATTGGCCTTGAAGTTAGGTTGAGGGTTCAAATCCTAGGTCAGCTACTTACTACCTATTGTGGCTAGCTTCCTATTCCCTCTGGGCTTCAATGTCCT